TTCCATTAATCACTTCAGTAATGTACTGTTTCAATGGCTTTGCTAGCATTGGAAAAAAATTAAATCCAGTTCCAAGGCTTCTCTGGAGATTCTTTAGTTCAAAAATACTTATTAAATTTGAAGCAGGAGTTAATATAGGAAAATGCCAAGGACTGTATCTGTGTTGGGTGATCAGACTATCCTGGGCATTTAAAATAAAGGAGTGTGTTCTTTAAAAATGTTTTCATTATTAAGTTTATTATTTTTATTATGAGATGATAACTTAATCTTCTTATTTGTTTCCTCTGCAGTTTCTAGAATCATCAGCAAATATGTTTGCTGCAGCACAGCAGTTGTCTCAAAATATTAATCCGGGTGAGTTTTTTTTTGTTACTATGCTTGTTGCTGTGGCAATGGTGGAATGCTCACCACAGTCCCAAAGGAGGATCCTGCCAGGAAGGCTCCTAGCACCGAAACATAACTTGCATTAGGGCTTTGGGTTTTGCTTTGTCAAAAGGAATGTTTGATTGAAATGTAGCTCAAAACCCAAGAGACACCTACTTCATATTTGTCAGTAATTCAAATTGTAAGACTTTTTAAAAAGGCACAGCTTACCTATCTCCCTTTACTTTACGTCTCCAGACTGTGTTTAAGTCTTAGACACTGCCAGCTTAGAGCACTGTCCAGCTTCCTAGTGACCTTGACTTTCCAGACACTTCTGCTCTTGCTTGAGAGCTTGAGTTCTCTAAGTACCCAGAAGCACAGTGTTCTGAGGAGAGAGTTTGCCTCCTACCCACCCTTCACTGTGCTGCAAGTTTAGGTCATGAGCTGCTTGAATTTCCTAGAAAAGCTGGAAGACTGCTTGCCTCACGTCTGACCCATAGTTAGTCTAAGAGACTGCTCTGTGATAGTTAAAAGCCTGTCACAGAGGCACACATATTTGTTGTAAGTTCTTGTTAAAGTACTCCAAGAAATGGACAGTCAGGCATTTCAAATCCACTGCTTTGCCACAGGGTGGCCAGGCTGTACGAATATTCAGAGAGGGAGCAGCATCCAGTCCTGTTGACTTATGCTGGGATGCAGCAGCAGTCAGCTCGCTAGAACTGGGGAGCTGGCAAGAGAAAAGGCAGAAGGATCCATCACTCCTTTCTGTAAAAAGACAAAGCCCTGTCACATTTGGGGCCTGTCTGCAGAAGTGTGCTCTGCATCCCTCCGTAACCCTTGGGGCTTGCACTCCTGACTGTAATTTTTGTTATTTCCCATGTAATTAAAAGATGATAGATACATAAGTTAGAATGTTCCTTTAGAGGGATATATCTCTGACTCTGGGGGCAACTTGGGTTAAATAACGTGTCTCCAGAAGATGGTTGGTGCTGAGGAACCCAGTATCAGTGCTGTGTATGTTTCAGGAGGTTTACTTCAGACCAGCTCCTTTGGTCCTAGGGGCTCAATGCCCTGCAGTGGTTGGACTGCCTTGACTGTGCCTTTGAGGCAAATCTTCTCATTTAGTTTCATCCAAAAATCACCCACTTTGGGCAGTCCAAGATTGTTCTCTGATGGAAGCCACGCCTGTTAAAGTGGGGTCAAAAGGACAACGTTTCAAAAGCCCAGTTTTAGTGTAGGGTGAAATGCTAAGACAGATCATAGAATCATAGAATCATAGAATAGATTGGGTTGGAAAAGACCTCCAAGGTCATCAAGTCCAACCCCTGATCCAACTCTAATTACTATATCATGGCACTAAGGGCCATGTCCAATCTCTTTTTAAAAACCTCCAGGGATGGTGAATCCACCACCTCTCTGGGCAGGCCGTTCCAATGCCTGATCACCCTCTCTGTAAAGAATTTCTTCCTAACATCTAACCTAAACTTCCCCTGGAAGAGCTTGAGCCCATGTCCCCTTGTCCTGTTGTTGGTTGCCTGGGAGAAGAGACCAACCCCCACCTGGCTATAACTTCCCTTCAGGTAGTTGAAGAGAGTGATGAACCCATAGGTACCTGCTTTGGGTTTGGGCTCTATTTCACGGCAGCATCAGGGAGCTCTACTGAGCTAGTGGCTGGACTCTTATGGTACAGCCAGTATTCAACCCCTGGACACTTACCAGGCATGAAAGATAAGACCATGACTGAGTCTGTTGGGTATTTTCCATGCATTTCATCCTTGATTATATTACTGATGGGTGGTGGGTTCCCCTCCCTCCGGTATTCTCAGTAGTGTCAGCAGGTACGTTCTTTCTTGATCCACTGTTAACTGCAGCTAAGCAATTTGGTTAAGTCACTGCATTCTATTTGATAAAGACTTGATTTCCTTAAGAATACTCCTTTTTCAATTATACCCACAGGGCAAACAAAAGAATAGGGTTTTTTTACCTTTTGAACAAGTTAAACTAATTTAGTTGACTTTGAAATGTCCTTTGTGCTCAGAAACGGCGCAGCTGCTTTTGATTGTATCTGATGGAAGAGGCCTTTTCTTGGAAGGCAAGGAACGAGTGACGGCAGCAGTTCAAGCAGCTCGGAATGCCAATATCTTTGTTATTTTTGTAGTGTTGGACAATCCTAATTCCAGGGTAAGTAAGGGAGCAAGGGAGAGGTATTCAACTGCAGTGAATGAGAATCTGATACAAATCTTCCTGTCTTTTGTAGTGCCATACAGCTACCTTATCTTTTGTAGAGGTCAAAGACATTTAGCCCAATTTCAGGTTTTCATGTCTGTCAGATCTATGATTTCTTCCTACTGTGCTTCTTATCCTCTTCTGTACTTTAAAAAACCTCAGCTTCCATGCCACAGAAAGGCTAAGTAAGAGCTCCCATCTTCAAATGTAGTGGTTGTAGATCTTGGCCACCAGGGAAGTAGCTGGCAGGTTGACAGATCTGGAGTCTGAGAGATGCTTTGTTCCATCACAGTTCTGATTCAGCTTGATAATTTCTGACAGCAGTCTCCATTTGACATGACAGCTGGAGCCAGTATGAGATTAAACATAGACAGAAAGGAGTATGTGAGTTATTTAGTGCCTGAATTGTGAAAGCTGAGTTCTGTATCTGGTAGTAGGGGGGAAAAACTGTTGGATATCCTTGGATGGGTAGCTGAAATACCTGGGAACTTTTCAGGAAGACTCTGAGTGCAATAAGTGAGCAAACCTAAGGTTTACTTTGAATTATGCGGTGAAGACTAATTTTGTAGTTCACATTTTCTTCCTCTATTTTTTCATACAAAACTCATCTGCTATATTTAGTGTTGAAAAACTACCAGTTCTCTTGCTGACAAACTGTTTTAAAGTTCTGATGAAGCTTGGCTGTTCAGATACTGTGGCCTGATATCAAGCAAAAATTCTGGGTGTTTTTCATAAGCGTTTTTTCTGGGGGACAAAAAAGGTGGTTTTTCATAAGCTTCATTAATTTTCTGAACTGCTACACTGAGCAACTAAGAAGTTACTTTTACAAGAAGCACAGCTGGAGTTTAATCTGATTTTTGTCTCTGTAGTATTTGTTGAAATATTATGAAATAAGTTGCTTAAGAATCTTGTCTTAGAGCACTGCACAAATGCAAGCTGAACTCAGCCCTAAAGAGCTTAAAGACGACAGTGTCGGAAAGGCATCAAATATATAAACCAAACTGGTAACAGTTGAGTAAACTCAACTCATAAAATGCTAAGGAAAGACAATATTTATGGAACTAAATAATAAATTGCAGAAGCATAAGCTTAGTCTCTTCTAGCCTATAATTCATGGATTAGAGCACTTTCATCTAAAAAGGGCAAAAGTATTTAACTTCTTTGTTGTTCAGCTTTTGGTCTGATTTACCATTGAACACTTACAGCTTTTAATCTTAGAAGTATTTTATTAACTTTTAATCTAATGGGAGGAATTCTAAGTATTTGAAAAAAAGGATAAATTATATCAGTGGCCATAAAAGATGCATGTCATTTAGCAGTAACATAAATACTTTTTTACAGGATTCCATTTTGGACATTAAAGTACCTATATTCAAAGGACCTGGAGAATTGCCTGAAATCAGATCTTACATGGAAGAATTCCCATTCCCGTTCTACATGATCCTTAGAGATGTGAACGCACTTCCAGAAACTCTGAGTGATGCACTCAGACAGTGGTTTGAACTGGTGACTGCCTCAGACACTTTGTAGGCTTTGTAGACAAAGTCAGGACCCGACTGCTGCTAAACTGCTGAAATACATGGAACAGCATTTCAGTGGAGGGATCATAAGGCCCCTCCTAAGGAGGATTAACCTGCAGGAGCTGCCCTTGGGCAGTCAGACTGCGCAGAACTAAGTGGTTTAGGTGCACTCTCCCATGTTTGTCAGAGGACAATTATGCAATTGTGAGACTGTCTCCTGCTACTCCCACAAATAAACTTTCCTCAACTTCTCTTGTAATAACTTATTACCTAAAAAAAGAAAGAAAAAAAGTATTTGTAATATTCACAGAGGTACAATTATTCCTGGCAGTCTCTGCTGCCATAGGAAAAATCAGTCTTGCTTCTGGGAAGGCATTTCTGTGTTAGAACTCGAGGTGTCTGGCAAAAAAGCATTCTTTAGCTTTACCTGTGTGGCTGGTGCCTCTGGGAAGGAGTGGAGGAGCAGGGAAGCAGGTGGTTTTAAACGACCAAAAAAAATGAGTATCTGAATACTTAAAAGTACTCTGCAGTTTAACACATCCTATTTAATTATTGCAGATTTTTGTCTGACGGTATCAAGAGGGAGTTTTCTGAATAATGCCATATGCCGATCTCTGTTCTATCAGTTTACACTGTGTAGTCTGCCCCTCTGTCTGAGGGAGACATTGAGGACGCTTCATAAATCCGATGTCTTAAGAGCACGGGCGTGATTTTTCAGTGCAAAGGCTATGCATCTTGTATCGTCTGTACTAATAAAAAGAGGTGCCGCTCTTTTTAATTACGACGTCTGTTCTTGGAATTGATCAAAGCCTCAGTGATCGAACCGAACTCCCCACAGGGAGGGGACACCCCAGGAAATGGCGGCGGGTGGCCCCGCCCGCGGGGGGCGGGCCCGGCGGCCCCGTGTCGGGGCAGGGGCGGAGCGGCGTCATGGCCGCCGGGCGCCTCCCGCCGGGCGCGCTCAGCCTCAGGCAGGTACGGGGGGCGGCTCGGGCCGGGGGCGGCGGGGCCCTCTGTGTTTGTGTAAATGTCCCTGGAAGCAAAGCCGCCGAGGGTGCGGCTCGCAGCAGTGTCCCGGAGCAGCGGGCAGACCTCCCTCTCTTGCTCCCCAGTTCCTGAGGCGGCAGCAGGTCCTGCAGCTGTACCGCAAGATCCTGCGGGCTATCCGGGAGGTGCCGGCTGAACAGGATCGCCGCTACTTGAGGGACTGGGCCAGGGAGGAGTTCAAGAGAAATAAGGATGCGACAGAAGAGGTGAGGACCGGGAACCCACAGCCCTGACCGCCTGCCCTGGGGAATGGTCACCCTGCTGTGCTGTCCTGTGGCTTGGGAGGGGTTTTGTAGGTGTCACTTCCAGACTGGTGAGAAGTCTCCTGCTACTGTTTTTTCATTTATAGAAGAAGTAATCGGGCATATCTATAAATATTATCCTCCCTGTTGGCGGTAGTAATGTTTCTCTTAATTTCCAGATAATAATCTGGAATTAGAAAGCTAAAAAACAAATAATTCTGCTTACTCAAACCACAGATCAGGAAAATTGTACTGAGTAATATAGTAACTAACATAAAATTACTAATGGTTAAGCTTTCTGTAGGTTTTTTAAAAAAACCTTTAATTTCAAGCATATTCAAGCAGAATACAATCAAATCGGATGGTTTGAGATATGAAACAAATATGAAATGCAGAAACCTTCACATTTCTTGTATGTCTCCAGTCCTCTTTTCTTGTTTGTTCCTTTTTCTAGCCAAGGCCCAAGGAATTTGTGGCTGAGCTATGCAGACAAAGCTCTAGAGAACACATATAATGTTGGGAGAAACAGCCACCTGCTCTGTAAAAGCCGTGTCTCCATAATGCCCATGTTAACTCGTCACTACTGACGTGCAGAGGCAGTAGACACAGAAACATAAAGAAAATGATTGTTAGGAGTTTGAATCCAGTTAGAAACTTGAGTTTTAAAGCCACAACCAAGCACATCATTGAGAAACTGGGAAAAATTAATTCATTTAGTCACCTGTTTCTTAACCACCTTAGTGTTACTTCACACAAAGAAACAGATGACGGTAGTGCCAGTAAGAATTGTATGTATTTTAGTGCATTAAAAATCTGCGTGGCTGTGTGAAACCTGTGTACAACCTGTGTATGGATGTTCAGTTCAGTAGACTCCATTTGGTTTTACAGGATGCAATCAGGATGATGATTACTCAGGGCAACATGCAACTGCAGGAACTTCAGAGAACACTCAAGCTGGCAAAATCCTGATACCGATTTTGTTTACAGTTGGACTTTCATCTGCTGTAAAGAAGAATGGTGTTTTCTCCAGAATGTGGTTATAATGGCAGCTTTTGCTGGCAACCTGGTAAAGTTTGAAGGGGGAATCTACCACAGCAGGGATGTTGTTTGGGTTTTCCCCTTTCACTTCTTGGTTTGGTTACCTTCCTATGTGGAAATCACTCAGACATAAAGAACAGAATGGATGATGTAGCATTTGCTCTGGGAAAAGCAGAAAGCACCAAAAATTCCAACAGCAGTGTTACACACCTGTGAAATAGAAAATAAATACAAACCGGATTTTTTTGTCTGTTTTTTACTGTGATAACTGTAGGTGGCAACATTCATAGTGCTAACAGCTGTCCACATACTGTGCCAAGGATTTTACCAAAATTTATGATTGAAAAAGCATTTGGGATAAATAAATGGGCCCAGAAAATATAAACGTGACAAAACTTTGAAGAAAGTGTTTTGTATGTAGGTGCTGGTTTTCAGTAGTAGCTGAATAAAACTTAAAATGGGAGGTGTTTATATATGAAAATGAGAGATTTTAGCCCCAGAGACGGTTATTACCAAGCCAACAGGAATTAACCGTCAAGCTAGTATTTAAAAGTCAATTTAAAGTAGAATTACAGCTAGTAAATGCTAACTGCAAATATTGTGGTTTGGTTTTCCAAATATTATGATATTGCAGTTTTGTTAGCTTGCAGCTGTTCTCACTTTCCTTGAGCTGCAGTGTATCTTACATACATAATTTAGAAATACCTAGATGAGCCAGGGGGTTTTGTCCACGTAACTGGACAGGCAGCAGTAGAGAGATACCTGACTACTACTGTACTGTGTGCAGTTTAGGTTGTGGTTCTAAGACATGCAGAACTCCTTGCTCTCCCACTTTGCTATTACAGTTCCCTTAGGGAGCCACCCTCCCACGCCAGCGTGGCTTTCTGCTGGATTGGTGAGCAGGACAGCAAATCCAGTAAGTGCCACCACTGGCACAAGAGAAGGGACAGGATGCTACTCCAGGCTGCAGGAGGGATGATAGGCCCCAGATGGGAGCAGGAAGTATGCTGCTTGCTGGAGCCAAACAAAGGGTCTTCAAAGCTGCTTTGCAAAAATGGAATGCCTTTTTTTCTGATTATTTTTCTGAAAGTCAGTGTAGAATCCTTTCCTATGATGTTTATTTAGCTTTGCAGTAAAGAATGTGCCTCAGGCAACCAGTAAGACTGCTCACAGGTTCGGGTTTGTATAGACAGAAGCCTCTGAGCTTCAATCAGTCAGTGAAAAATACACGTGTAAAAATATTTTGATAAAAGTTTATATTCTGTTAACATTTTCTGGTGGGATACACTGGCAGTATTAGGGTGTTGAGGATTACAGGTATTTTGTAAAGTCCAAGGATTTAGGATAAAATACCTCTCTTTCTTTTACCATTCACTCATGGGCTTCAGAGAACCTCTGATATCAGTAACCTGCAGGCAGGTTGCTTCGGATTTACTTAAATTACTTGTACATATGACCTTAGTAGTGTGGTCCGTATGTGAAACAGATGAGCTGAAGCCATGGCCTCTCCCTGGTGCTTGGGCAAGCTCTGGAGTGTGTGTGAGCAGCTGCACAGCTCGGCCCCGCGCCAGTAACTTCTGAAATGGTGGGTGCCTGCACCAGTTAAGAAGCAGCAGTCACTCCCTGCAGCCTCCCTCGGGACGGATGGTAGGCTCTGTTCCCATGGTTTACAGCCACAAAAGCTCAGAAGCTGAAGTCCAGTTTTTTGCTCTCCCTTCCAAGTGAAGTGAGGGAAGGGAGGGATCCTGTCAGTTTTCCCTGGCTAGAAAACGTTAACGCCACAGATCTCTGAGCAACACTCAACTTTAATTGCTTGGCAAAACATTATTCAGGTGATACAAAACTTCAGTAGCATGCTTCTGCATTCCTACAGTAGCTTAAACAAAACTGTAAACATAAGGAAGTGTCTATATTAGACTACAGAAGTCAGAGCAACAAAACTAGTTATTTCCATAGCTGCAGATACATTTGTCTTGATAGTGCATTAATAGGAACTTTAAAAAATATTGTTATATGATACAACTTTCTTTATACATCTGCTAAGAAGACAAAAGCTTAATTACTAATTAGTCAGTGGTGTCTTCAATGCTGTATAAAGTATTTTGTATTGATTTTAGGGCTCCCCAGTACAAAACTATTTTTTCCTTGGCATAACAGTACCATACTGTGCTAGAACAATTCTTCAGAATCGGTTCAATCATGATCTGGTAAGTAAACTTACTTTTGTAACAGAATCTGATGGAGCCTTCTCAGAGGTATAAGGAGGAAACCCTAAAAGGGTGCAGAGACAATGAGTTACAGTGCCTCTAGATCATTTGGAATCTGTCAGCATGGACAACATCTGGTCAATGTAAGTTTTGATTGTATATCAAAACGTATAGAACTTAACAACATTTTCAAGCTTTTATCTGTTTTGTGGGATTTTGTCCTAAGACCTGCAAACTCATCGGGGCCTGGTCTCCTTTGTAGAGATAAAGGAAAAAAAACAGAGGAGTCATTCAGAAGAACAAAGGTAGACAGTCTGGACAAAGTGGGAGAAAATTCAGACTGCAGAAAAAGAAATACTGGAGTACAAGGAACCAAGCTTTCACTTCTTTAAATAAAAGACTTTTTCAAGCTTCTTCAACAGTAGAGAATTCAGCCATGTGCTGCTTGAAGGAAAAGAGATTCATATAAAACTTATACCTAACAAGTAGACCATGGTTACAGTAAAATATTTGCTATCCGTGCCTTAAACAAAACTTCTCTGTCAGATCACAGCCCCAACAATTGTGTAACCACAAGGAGCTCTGCAACCAGGACACCACTAAAAAAAAGACAAATCTGATATAGCATTCATTTTAATAACGTAAAACCAAGAGTAAAGCATCTCTATCCGTGGTTGCCTGCCCTCTTCCAGCTGAAAGCCTGCATCTGTCACCTACCTGGGCTTGTAATTGGAGTGGGTTCTGTAGCTTTTCTTCACTGACTAGAGACAGGCCCTGGGGAGTATCTAAAATAGGATCAATAGCCCTTCCTCACTAAGGAATTCTGTCAAAAACTCTCAAACATCCTGGATTTATTTCAGTACTGGTATCACCACATGTTTACATGTAGCATACAGTGGAACCCTCTAGCCACACATGACCTATGTGGAAATAAGGGAATTCCCTTTTCAGAAAGCAGTTTTGGTTGCTAATGCATGTGTTTTCAAGCAGCATCTGGAAACTGGGAGTGCAATATTAACAGGCTCTTGGAAATAACAAAGAAAGGATCTAATCTGCAGCATCTCATTGTTATCAGTATAGTCTGCATATGAATCCTCCTCAGTTATGGAGTTTCCAGAGTTATTCCTACTCCTGAAAAAGAGTGTTTTGTTTGGATATAACAGGCACTACAAATATCTATCAATATTCCAGATTCCCATACAGAAGGTTCCGAGATGAGTCCTGTTGCCTGACTGCCTGCTCGGCAGTTGCTAGCTGTCCTTCTGCACCTTAGTCCTTAACTTGCTGAGCTCCTCTTCTAAGCATTTAATGTGCTCCTTGAGCGCAGCTTTGTCCTGTTGCGCTCTCTGGTTTGCTTGGCACTGGGCTTCTTCTATCTTCCGCTCATACCACTTCTCCATCTGTGTGGAAACAGCCTCGAAGAAGTACTGTGTTATCTCCAGGGCCTGGGAGGTGTCTCTGAGGGGAGGGGCAGGGGGCTGTCCTGCAGGCGGGGGGCAGGGCTGCTGCTCCTGGCTCTGGTGTGCCCCGGCGTGGTGCAGAGCTTTGTGCCTCGACTGCCCACTTCTGCTGGACTTTTTTGTCTGAGTTCCTTTGTCGATGAAGTATCCGCCCTGTGGTTCGGTCTTTGCAGGTTCAGTCAATGGCTGCAAAGCAGCTTGAACCTTAACATGTCTTAATTTGGAGCCCAGAAGTTCGGAGGAGGGCAGCTCCTGCTGGAACTTTTGGAACGTGCTGGCACTAACAGCTTTGTCCTTTGGCCTGACATCTTGAGCAGGGGCAGAGGAAGAAACTGGTCCACCAGCCACTGACTGTTGCTCTGTACCTACAGAATAAAATATAGACAGTGTGTTAAGAAAAGCTCTGGGCATTTATTTTAGCATTCAGAAGCCCTCGTTGTTTGATGAATGATGCAGTTTCCCACGTACCATGCTGTGTACGTTGTACAGGCTTATATTAGTTTAAAACATCTTCACAGTCAGGTGATGTAACAAAGAGAAAAGCTGGCTCAGGCAGGGAGGTGCTGCACTGCGGCCATGGGTCTACACACTGACCACTGTGAGGGTGATGAGGCACTAGAACAGGTTGCCTGTAGAAGCTGTGGATTTCCCATCCTCAGAAGTGTGCAAGGCCAGGTTGGATGGGGCTCTGAGCGATGTGGTGTAGTGAAAGGTGTCCCTGCCCATGGCAGGGGGGTTGGAACTAGATGATCTTTAGGGTCCCTTCCAACTCAAACCATTCTATGATTCTATGACTTCATCAGAAGGATGTGTAACAAAGATCAGTCTAGATTTCCAAGATATGTCTGCTGATATTTATGAACACCCTCCTTCTATAAAATTTGAAGCCCCGGTAATTATGAAAAGGTCTCACATTTTGTAGTTTTGAACTACAAAAAACTGCAGAATAGCTCACACTCACGTACCACAAGATTTCCTATGTGCCTTTCTAATCTGATGGGGCATCCATGTCCACATCTGTTCACTCTGCATTATACTTAGCTGTGGAGACCTGGCCATTCTGCCCACATCTTTATTATTTCTCAAAAGTTTCCAGAGCCAAGCACATAGAGGTGGCTTAAACCATATCTTCAGGTGGCCTTGATCCCTGAATGGGCTTTGAGGTTCTCAGCTATTTTTATTCTTGCCAAATGAACTAATAATTAAACAGACTTTGGTTCAAGAGAAGAGGAAAAGGAGGCTTATTCTATATACTTGCAGTTTGAATATTAACATGGGAAATGAGTATTTTAGGTTCACATCTCTGCCCTTACAGGTTCCAAACATCTAAAAAGCACTAAATAACAATACACTTTTTTCAGTAGACTCTGGATAATCTGCACAAGCCCGCTTTCCTGACAGACAACAGGGTGGTAAGCATTTCTGGAGAAGGTGGAGAAATTTCAGAAAACAGAATTATTCAGAGCACCAAAGGACTTGGCTTCAAAGACACCAGAAGTACCAGGATGAGTCAGCAGAATTCCACCCAGTCATGTCTTAAAATTTCCTACTGGCTTCCTTGAAAGCATATTCTAATCCCAAAACATTAGGCATATGGATGAGGGAAAGCACACAGCCAGAATTAATATATGAGATGTTAAAGCATCCCTCAGTTAATTAGCTTGCCCTTGAATAAATATGACATCTAAGTACCTGGCATGGCTGTACCTGATGCACCGTCTTGTTTAACGCAAAAGTGTTTCCCAAAGCTCTGCTCTGGCATCTGGACTCTGCTCCTTCCCCCATCTTCCAAGAGGCTATTGGGAAGTGTGATACAGGAATGCTGGTGGGAGGCCTCTGACTGCAGCACAGGCTGGTTGGCTTTACAGTCCTTGGCACTGTGGGGGTGGTTGTCTGTATCCAGGGTCTCGGTGAGAGACTCACAAGTGGACAAAGTTGATTTTGGTCTTGATGACCTGGAATCTCCAGAAAGTTTGAGCTCCAGATTCTGAATCTTCAACAAGCACCAAGTCTTCAGCTCATCGACCAAAGAAATCTATGAGAAAGAGACTGCAAATTAGACGATCCTGTGATGAGATCCTACGGTTCCTGGGCTGCTGAAGACGTGTGGCAAGGACAAAGAGAAGCAAGCTGGGTATCTGGGCTTCGACTCCCTGTACAGATGCGCCTGCTGTCACTGTGGGTATTTAAAGGACTGCAAATCAGAAAAGGTGAAAAACTATGCATTAGCTAACGAAAGGCACCCTCTTTTCTCCAAGCCACCACCTCTTAGATACGACTTCAAATGCAACTCTAAGTCCTCTGATCAGGGATGACTTGTTTAATCATACAGTCAATGATACTTTCTAAGTGCAAGGAACGTCACATGTGGTCAAAGCTGACTTTTTTTAATGCTGAAATTTAAATTAGACACTTGTGGAATCCAGTTTTATATCATTACCAACCTGTGCTTCTCTGTTCATTCAGTGATAAAGACAAGTTCCACACTAAATTATAAATCACTAACAGCTTTCAGATTGCAAAGGTGCTTAATAAGTGTCAGCTGCAGAGTCATTTAAATAATTTAAAATAGGAGTAGCTCTTCCACCCTGTTGTTCATATGACATCATGAATTTAGGTCAGGCCCTCCTAGGCACAAGGACATTTAGTCAATGTGTTTAGTAAAGCCCATTTCTCTTTCTCCAGCAGTTTCAATTAGACCCAACAGAGCAGGAACAGCTGATATTGCTTAATTCAGTGCATCTGATCTATCACTCCAGCATCTCGTTTCTTAAATGGAGATTACAAGGAGATGGAGTACAAGCCTAGACTTTCAGCAGCCAGTATAATACTTATGCCTCTTACAATGAAATAAAAACTAAAGTTGCCTTAGTTTGGTAAGTACTTTTCTTTGGAGAACAGTGTTTTGTGGATGTTAGACCCAAATGTCTTAATCAGTGGTTTATGCAAGGATTATCACAGCTGCCAGTCTTTTAAAGCAGATTTGGAAGAGTCTTACAAAAACTCATGACATTTTACTAGCACAAAGTGTATTGCCCAATTCTTGGAAGAATACCAGTAATGAGAAAATGAACTGTATTTTAAATTTACCCATGTGAGTAGAGAAACACAAATTTCTTCACAGGTTTTAGTGGTGAATTTTTGTAGAAGCTAGAAGGGCAAGAGCTGGATCAGCTGGATCTCTGTGGGAGCAGTTATTCTTGTACTACTGGTTAAACAAGCATACAAAAAGGATTTGCCTAATGGCACTAATACACAGCTTGGAGGTGCTGTCGTGTTGCTAACATCAGAGGGAAGAACTGCAGCCTTTCAATACATGGGGGAAAAAGATCAGAGAGAGAAGAAGGGAGAGATTCCCAGGGCCCACAACCTAATGGATGAGAAGTAAAAGGAACAACATAGATCTTAGCCTTTGTTACCATTTGCAGATGTTCCTGCAGATGTCCTTTAATGAAACAAAAACTGAAAACACAACTGTAAAAATTTAGCAGTAGGACTTTTTGCAAAGCACTATGTTAGAAAAGCAGTATTTTGTTATGGATCCCACACCTGAGGCACACCACGTTAAATTACAACAGTGGGACTGGATTTCACATTCCTCATTTCTAATGCAAAAACTTTATAAATTTGGTTTAGAGATTAAGGTGGTGGATAGGAATAACTTGGTCTTTCAAGCTCTTTTCCCTGTTTAAACAGATGAGCTAAATCTCTGATATTCTCTCTGCCTACTGGAAAGAAATTCTTGAGCTGAGCTAACAGGGAGTAGCTGTTTTGAGCCCTACCTGCCGCTTCTCCCCCTCATTCTTTTCCAGCTCAGTGTGCTGTTGCAGGCGGTGAAGGCACTCTGTTCTCTCTGCGGACAGCCGCTCAGCCATAAGCTTGTCTAAAACACGGAGCTGTGGAGAAAACCACAATTCAGCTGAGATGATCACATTAAAAACCAAACAAAACTCCCATCTGTGAACCTTGTAAGTCAAAGTACAGTCTGCCTTTTCAGTCTTTGTTTCTAGGAACTCTGCCAACTACAATTAGATGTAGCTTGCAAAGGGGTTCAATCACAAAATTATCAATGAATAACTATTAAATAAAAAATAATTTAGAGGATCTTGAATCTCAGTGCATACGTAAGTCAGCAAGAGGGATTCTTACAATTATGAACCAACCAGCTCTAGGGCTGCTTTCTTTCCCCCTTAATGGCTCAAGCCATTAAGATTCCTTGTCTAAGGAAGCACCAGAAGCCACTTAACACATTAAATGTGTCTTTTCTCAAGACCCTAGTTTGCAACATTAGATCCCTGTGGAATGTCACAATTCCCTGGTCTTGAGTATTAGATTTCACTGTGTTTTTTTTACAACATAAGAAGCAATAAATGAATCAAGACAATGAAAACAGTCGTTAAGCTTAGGATACTTTTCTAATAGTCCTATGGACAAACAGAGCTCTGGGTCAAATTCTTACTTGATGTTGAGTTTTGCTTTCCATCTGGCCCAGCTTAATATTCATCTTATCTTGTACTGTCCCAAACTCAGCTTTTATCTCTTCCACTGTTGCCTCCAGCTGATTCTCCAGTTTATTTATCAGGGGCTCACAACGACATCCATTTATCGGTGCCTGAAAGTGGTAATACAATTTAGTTGCTACATCCCACCATCCTCTTAGCGCACTTGGAACATTATCACAGCCTCCCTGAGTCAGTCTTGGGCTTTTCTGTACCACATAATGTATCTCACCCTCCTGATAATATCTTACGGTAGCTCAGCAAACAGGCTATTAGTTGAAAAAGCACAGACTAGAATAAAAGATTGATCTGATTTCTATGGACACATCCTAACACTCAGCAGTGTTGATTTCACTGGGGCTACAAGGAGCACTGAGCTCAGATCGTGTATGCTGTGGTACTGAGTGCTGTCTGAGGGGATACCATATTACAGGCCTTACTATTATAACCCTTGTCTTGATTCTGTAATTCTGAATTCTCTAATTCTGCTGTAAAAAAATAATCTGATTTTTTGGATGTGTGTAGGTTGTGTGCATTTTGCTTTTTAACCTAATGCCAATAATGTGTTCTGCCCTTTTTCTGTACTAAGTGGCAAGGCCTCACTGCTTCTGTTTGCTCTCACCCTGTTGGAATCCAGCTGTTCCCGGACTGTTGGGCACAGCTCTGCCTGCCTTTGACTCACATGACACCACCCCATGGCGCCCCTGCAAGGGGGGCTGCACTGACCAGCATTTAAATCTCTCTGGGAGATGGTCACAAAAGGCTCCCTTAAGTGAGGACAGCTAATCCTCATCGGCCTCCTCTGCAGCCCAAAGGCAGAAATTGGCTCCTTCAGAGGGTTGTGCCAATAGCCCAAAATAGCTGTTCTAAATCTGCCTGCAGAGGAGCCTCCCTCTCCTTTGGCAGCAGTGTTTCACAAATTGGGGGTTATTCCCTTGGCAGGGAAAGGTGGGTGGTTTGCTGAGCACTAAAGAAAGCTTCAAAGTAAACTTACTTAAGAAATTATGTTTGCTATTCAGGGCCTGAGGGCATCAAAGAATACAGACAAGCAAAAAAAAAAGAAGAGAGGAGTGTCATGTATTTCAGGAAATACTATATGGGAGTCTAGCTCTATTAAGCTAATCTTTGTGAGTAGATGAGATTTGTATACAAATCCTATCTGCTCTCTGCATCTCTCTTTCTGCTTCCCAAGTCCTTCCTATGGCCTACCCACCTACCATCAGATGCTCGGGGCAGGGAGATACTGCTTTTAATGTATAAAAGGTCCTCCATCCTTTCTGATGTCTGCTATGGGATAATTACTAAACTATAATAGTGCCCCTGTCTGGAAATTTCAGTCTCAAAACTGGAATAAATGCATATGAGTTGGTAGCTCCAGGTTTATTTGTGAATCAGTTTCTTTACAGATTCTGCCCCCAGGAAACATAGAATCCCCAAAGACATGTTGCAGTAAACAGAAAGAATTGAAACAAAATCTATTGAGCTCACTCAAGCTCTTGGTTTAGGCGGTAAGCCTTCAGTGCTCACATGATGCTTTCCCTTGGAAAAGTTCTTTGCATTTCCTGTCAGAAATCCTAATGTTTCAAAGTATATCATAAAAGTTCTTGTGTCATTTCCAGTCACTGTTCACACCTTATCTCCAAAAAGGAACTATTTTGTAGATCAAAACTACTGAAGTATGTCTTCTTTAACAGGCACAAAACCAGCTTATTGTTTGCCAGACTTCGGGCCAAAATGCAGCTGGAACCCAAACAAGGAAAATGAATCCAGTCATGAGAGTGCAGTTAATCGAGCATATTTTCTATCCGTTACCTCACTGTGCCCCAGCTCCTGTGCTGCTCCCAGCATCTCCCTCCTCTGCAGTGCCAGCTCACCTGCATCACCTTCCCATCCTTTCCTCGGTACAGTGTGTAGAGCTGGTAGGCTCGGACCTCGTGGGGTGGGGGTGGGGAGGAGCAGTGATGTTTGCTTCTGCGCTTAGGCACGTTTTGCTGGGGCTGAGGGAGTGTCTGCTGATCAGCTGGGCAGATTGGGTCCGAGAGTGCGGAAACCTGCATAAAATACGGATGTTTTCCCTATTTATGAGCCCCTTGGTAAACTGTTCCAGGTGGGAATGGGACAAATCCATTTTGACAATTACAGTAAAAATTGGTTTTGTCTGAAGACTATCTCTGCCCCACGAGCACAGCAGGGCTCCTGCCCCGACTGACCAACACACCAAAGGAACACCCACCTACTGCTCAACAACTCTCTCTTCCCTCTCTTTGCTGTTTTAAATCTACTGATACCTTTTCCTTTGGCTTTTTCTTTTTGCTCTTCTTCCCTTTGGGATCTGGTGAGGTTGACCGGGGTTCATCCTTCAGATTGTTCTTCCTCTGCGGGGGCTGGTCGCTGCTCGGTGTGTCAGCAGCTGAGACGCTGCCCTGCTTGAAGCAAAGACAGGGAGTTCAGAGCAGTTGCAGAGGTGGGCAAAAGGAACCCCTTTGTCAATTGCCCAGTTTTAAGGTGCTCTGCTCCTGGGAAACTCTTTAGCAGCAAAGCATGACAGACTGCCTCAGGCAGCTGCCGCGGCCACGCACAAGTGATGGCTCCAAACACACTGAGTGCTCATGGGTTTTTAGTAACACTCCCTCTTCACAGCAGATCCAACTGGTAATACCAGGCTGTACCTTGCTCTGTACCACTTCATCCCGTGGCACCGACTGAGCTCGCCTTTCCTCTTTCAGTCTCTCTCTCTTCTTCCTCAGGCTTCTCCCACGGTTAAAACGCGAGACCTGAAGGCAGACCACGAGAGACCTGAAGGCAGACCATGACTCAGTGATGTCATGCTCTTTCCTACCACAAAAGACAAGTAATAGAGCAGACTTTTTCCACATCTGTACAAAGGGCAATGGATAAAAGAGAGTGCACTGCCAGATGGATGCTGGTGGGCCAGGAAACATGGGTATTTATGCCTGTGAAAACACACCACTGAGCTCAATCTTACTGGGGCACTTTGCTGTCCCCTAGAAGGATAAGCAACCCTTCCCGTGTCCTCCTGTGTCCTTGGGCTGTTTGTAAAGCCAAGCCTAGCCCTTTTCATGCAGAGGTGAAGGAAGGGATAGCATCTGGTCTCATACCCTCCAACCTCCTTTTCAGCCTGAAGAGCTTTGCAGCATTTCACACACAGCTGGGACGTATAAACAGGACATTTTGTCCCCATTTCAAAGCATCTTCCATCTTGGGGATGGGACGTGCCTGAGGCAGGCAGCAGAGTGACGCAACTCAGGAGCCTTTGGGTACAGGGCAACTTTCTAACCCCTAGGCCGCTGCAGGGAACAAGTGTCTCTGACTGCTCCATGCTCTGCCAGTCAGGACAGTGGGACCTCTGACAGCACTTAATGCTAAGGCTTAATCTGCACACCTTGCTGGCCTTGGGGGCTGAAAGGCTCTGCATCAATAGACCCAAGGCCAGCCCACAGTGCCAGCAGAAATGTAGGCACCTTTCACAGCACAAGATAAGGAGCAGGGGATGTGGCCTCCCAGGGTTAACTGGCCTCAGCTCCCTGTGTATGTGTGTGCTGGGGGGAGGTGTGTAACATACCTGTGATGCTTTAGTGAGGAGGAGTGCAACCTCGGGGTTATTGTGCTGTCTAGCAACCTCTAGAGGGGTCTGACCTGCCTGAAAAGAAAAAGAAAACAGCATTTCCTTTAAAACACAAACTACTGGAAATGTGGAGTTTCTCCAACCACGTTCAGTACATACTTTGTGCACAAGAGTAAAGCGACTAACTGCTTTAATTTACCCAGATATAATTCAACACATATCAACCAAGTATTTTCTACCAAGCCTATGGAGAATGTTGAAGGGACTCTACATTCATATAAAATACCAAAGAAACTCCATGTCCTGCTTACATTGTTGACAACGGATGCGTCGGCCCCTGCCTCCAGCAACAGCTTCACCACCTTCTTGTGATTCAGAGCAGCAGCTACATGGAGTGCTGTATCCCCTGCCTGCAGGGCAGAAAGCAGGAAACAAACTTGTCACACAAGTCCTTGGGTCTCACTGCAGAATTCACACCGATGTAAAAGATGCTCAGAGGTGAAAAGACCTACACTTACTGATGTGACAACTAAGCTTAAATAAGGCCCGGTCAATAAAAAATTTTAAAAAAACTGATGAGTTGGGAGGAAGGTGACAGGAGGGGCCAGGAGCTACTTCGACTTGGGTTTGAGAAATGCAGCAGGGGTGCTGGTGATCTAACTAAACCAACTGATACATGATGCAGCTTGGAGACAGCCCAGCTCCACCTCCAGCAAACGGATACAATATCTGAGGGCAGAACCAGTTTTCCCACCACAACCTTCCCTTTTTTTCCCTTCCCCTAGGTTTGATTATTTGGTGTGCAGGTGGCCGTGTATCACATTACTCAAAAATAATTAGATAAGTACCAGCAGCAAGATGGTTGACATTCTCTTCACAAGATTCCTCAGGAAAAACAGATTTTGGACCAATGCCAGGATGCAATCCAGGTCCAGCATTAACACACTGCCCTGCCCTTGTCCTGGTGCAGTGAGGTGAAGACAGCCGTGATCAGATTTAAGCACCAGTAACAGAGCCAGCAGCTGTTCAAGGGAGACCCTACACGTGTATATAATGCCCTCCTGTCCCCCTTGCCTTGCATTTTGTCTTAATAAACTTCAATCTCCGTGGGACTTGTGGTTCTCTATTGCTTGATGCTAACTTAGACAAGGCATATTCCTAAATCAAATCATTGTATGTGCAAATATGGAACAACTTCATGTAGCGCTCAGGAATGAAGAAGAGGAATATCTTCCCTGGGCCAGGTTCACAGCCGTTGATTCTAATATTCAGTAACTCATTTTGCAAGTTAAAAAAATAATTTCCAAATAAAATTACATAGTAAATTTAATATGCTGAAACCCATTTTGTTTGCTGTATTATCTCATAGCGAAGAAAGAAGATTAAACGTACAGGTCAGAAAACATCTTTATGATCTTCAACTACACACGCAAAACTTCCCAGGAACATGGGAAAATGTGGCTAAGTACCACATAATCTGTCTATTTAGCAGATTTAATACATTTTAATGTGTTAAATTCATTCCCTTCTACCACCCAATTAGGGTATGCTATAGGTACAGGAATCAATTACTTCTCTGTAAAACAACTACAGATGATTAATCCTAGGCTGGACTGATCATTACTTGAAACTTAGAGCGTACTTTTCCTTCACTTTTACGTCCTTTTAATTCCCCCCTACTGCAAAATGCAGCAAAGAAAAGTATTTCAGAGGAATTCACACTTTTGTAGCATCTAAATGTCCGTGAGTTCTGCTTCATGATGTCTCTGTAATGGCCATAAGATCATTAAATCACCTCATAAATAAGAAACGTGTTAAAGAAATGATGCAAATGCGATGGCAAAACAATAAACCACTGATATGCCATTACTTTAAGGCTGTTCTTAAAAGCTTAGGCATTTGGCGGTACAGTGGAACACAGAGTGAAGTGGGATTACTTGGGTTGGAATCCCTCTTCCCAACAACTGGCCGTATGCAAAGGGCACAGAGTCACGATGGGGTTCATGCACTGACCTGGTTCTTTTCATGGACAGAACAGAAAGCACTGAGCAGCACCCTAATGATGGGCAAGTGATTATAACGAGCAGCCACATGCAGACAGGTATCTCCTGCCTGCAAACAGAAACAAAGCTCTGAGCATGTAATCACAGTGGAAAAGCCTGCATTTGTCATGCTGTTCGGGGATGAAATAATCCTATTAAACCAGAAAGACCCATAAATACCACACACCTCCACTGAATAACTACGCTGTCTTCTCTGCAGAACAAAATCTGCTGTCATGGGTGGGAAAGCTTGGCAAGTGGTGGGGTCAGGCAACGTGGGGGCAGGAATTCATTAACCATTGATGGGAAATAGTAGAATTATAAAATGCTGGTTTACTTCACTACAAAACCTGAGTTACATTTTTCCATTAGATCTGTTTTTCTGAACCACAAACCAGTGTCACCTGGAATCTCAATTTGGGGTTGTACATAATGTGAAAAACATGAGGAATGGGGGCCAGAGCAGCATTCCCATGAGGGGTGGCATTTATGCAGCTGACACTGGGAGCTGGGAACAGAGCCCCATAGGTTTCCACTTCTGTGTGTCTCTGCCTACTTTGTTATCAAGCAGAGACAAAAACATCTGGCTTCCTTGGTAGATTATTTTTTTCCTTTGTCATGCCAGAATCATTATAAAATAGGAGGAAAGCTGTCTGAAACTGAAGTCACCTTGAATCTACCTCATTTGACAGACTGACACACAGTATATATGATCTGCATGTCTGAAGACTTTCACCACTGTGGCATAAAACCCCTTTAGGTTTTCCATCTTTCTGAGAGGAGCCCTTTTGCAGAATGGCACGACAGTGTCTGGCTCAGGCCATCAGGACCCCAAAAGGCAGGAAAGACCAGCTGCCTCAGTCTGTGCAACAGCTAAAACCCTTTTGGCTCCTTCCATCCCTGCTCAAGAGATGGGTAAAAGTAGTGCATCACTAATTCCTACCAAAAGCATTCCTGTACATGAGGTATACAATGGTTGACTAGTGGGTTTTTTCAATATCATTTATAATATAATATAATTTATAATATAATATTATAATATAATCACAGCTTAAAACCTTTCTGAGTATTTCTACAAGTTAAAGCAATATAGCTAGAACAAAATCACACAAAAATGAACATGTTGTTTTCAAAACTCACATTATTTTTGAGGTCTGCTCGAGATCCTCCAAGTAACAAAACGCGAGTACTCTGAGAATGGCTATTCTGGCAAGCCAGGTGAAGAGGTGTGTTACCTGCCTTAGAGAAATGCAAGAAAATATAAAAGCCATATTTAGAAATTGGACATAAGCATTAAAAATAAAACCTCACAGGTCTTCCCACAAGAAGATCTACCCAGTGGTGGGAAACTATCACTGTTAGTTTCCCAAAGACATGAGCTGAATGAACCTGGAGACTGAAATCCCCTCTTCATCCTGGCAACAGCTTACCTGGGATATAGTAAAGTCAGAAATTGGACAGTCTAATGATATCTGCATTGATCAAGTCTGCTTAAAGGAAGCAAAGACTCTGGAAACTGTCTCATTCATTAATATCAAGTATTTCCTTTAAAGAACTATAATTCCTGTGTTTGGGGTTTCCCCCATGCACACACACAAAGGAACACTCTGTCATGGCAAGGCATCAAGGGTCACTACAACTCCCATCTCCTAACGATCCTAACACAACCCTAAGTCTGGCTGGAGCTGTAGGTGGTCTCACAGGGCACGATGCAGATTTTAGGCTATCAAGAAGCTTCAGAAAGCACATGAGTCTCCAACAAAGATGAGAAGGGGGGAAAAAAGCCACCCAAACCCCAGAGAATCACATGCTATTGTTCTTGAAAGAAGCCAACATCCAGTATTTATGGACAGAAATCTAAGAAGCATTTGCTTGTGTATTGTCTTTCTAACACTGTGAAAGATTTTATTGGTCTGACAAGTTTTTCTGGCAGCATTTGGCTTTTGTGGGCCTGAAAACGTTTGTAGTTTTTTGCTCTTAAAAGCTAGAAATTAAATCACCTCAGGTAAAAAGGTTTCCCGGGCTTATTAGGCTGCCTGTTCACCTTGATTATGTCCTTTAATTTGTCCCCTGTGCTTTCAAAAAACAGATCAAAGCTGCAGGGTTTGAATTACAAAAAGGCCAACTCTTGATGTGGTCCTAGGTCTTCACTCCCATGTTTCAGACTATTTCAGACCTGAATGTAGTCTCCAAGCTCTGTGGCAGACATGAACATTTTCCTTCTCAGCTCAGTTGTATTTGAGTGTAAATTTTTTCCCTCCCGGGTTTATCTGTGAATATCTGCAATGCCTTTATCATTTGCTGTTTGGCACGTTGACCCCAGTGGGAAGGGAAGAGGTCCTGTGCAGCATGTGATGAGTGAGGACCTCAGTGCTGGGAGAAGTCACAGTGCTGGTGCTGAGGGTCAGGGATCACAGAGCGGCTCATCTGGCTCGTCTCCCATGGAGCGACAAATCTCTCATCAGCTTCTGGAGAGGGAGAGGAGGTCTGCGTAGTACCAGTCTGGGAATCTCCACTGAAATGGAGTGGAATGGAGGATCTAAAAACAAGGCTATAACTGATCTCACTGGATGATCTATCACAGTAGAAGAGTTTTCATTAAACCACCTTGATTGAAAACAAACTGCCTATCCAGAGTCATTGTTGCACAGAAGGAATACAGCTACCCAGGTGATATTAACCATGAGTTATGGAAAATACAGAGTCAAATCCCTCCTAACTCTTCACAGGATTTGGCAAATCTAGCAGCCTGCATCTGTCCCATCCAGCCAAAATCACACAATTCCAAGGTGTAAGTCAACAGCTCATGGGATGCTCCGGCACATGGCATCAGCCCTGGCTGCCAGAAAAGCTGTCAGAATGATTATGCCTTGTCATCAGTAACACAAAGAGCTGAGAGACCAGAGAAACCATTTGGGGATTAAGTAGACTTAAGCGCTTCATTTTTCTTGAAATCAAAAGGGGTAAAAGCACGTGGAAGCATGCATAATTCCCACATTTTTCAGCAGCTCCTGAGAACAGATCTTATCCAATAAAAACCACCCAAAGAGTGAAATGCTAAGGGGAGAGGACTGTGAGGGTACGACATCAAAGGCCAGCAGAGGAGCTGTTCACACAATATTAAAGTTTGCCAGTCATATTTCAGCCATCAACCCTGCTGAGCTATTCTGTGCACATACTTTCCCAGAGAGGTTGTCTCCAGCTGATATAGACTGGCTTGTAAGCTAAATCTTCTAATTCCCTGAGGCATCCAAGCATGCAAGGATAATCAGACTTGCATCTTAAGCCCACACCTTTGTACAGAAGTGTATGCACATACATAGACAAGTGTATCTGGGGGTAGGAGCATAATGGTTCATAAGATTTTATAGTCTTGACTTTATAGTCAAGCATGGGAAGTTTTCTGAAGTACCTTTGATACAAATCTAGGTGGATATTACAGCAAAAATAACTAGAGAAAATAAAAACTAGTAATTGAAATAATATGAAAGAAGGAATACACATAAAACAATATCAAAGATTGTGTAATTACAGACCAAAGTCACCAGAACTGTACAAACACATGGTTATACACTGCACATACGTGCAATACAGAAACACTATGCCCAGGCAACGTGCCTTTTTACTCTAAATCTTAGTCAGCTGTCTTGGCTCTTCCCCAGTCCCTTTCAGTTGTTGTTTTAGTGACACATTTACCAAAAAATGCTCAGAGATCCCACAAAGCCATCCCGAAGTCCTCTTACCTCTAATGAAGGGCACAGTGCCAGCTGTGGGATCTGACTGACCCATCAGCACAGGGATCCAAACCGGGACTCCACTCATAGCAGAGACTGCTACCACTATTTCCTAGACTATTCCATCAGCTTTTGAATTAGTGAATTAAAGTGTCCCACAGTTACAACAACTAGAGTGGAACTAAAACCCCATGCTTTGTTATTCCTTCCTCTAAATGGCTCACAAGTATTATAAATAACTAAAGGAACATAATCCAGGTTCATTACAAGATTTTGGGAAGAGACCATGCTAATATATTAGGAAGAACTTAGTAACAAACGATACATTTCCCCTCCCTCCCCCTGTGGCTTACATTCCTTTGGCTATTTAATTTCAGGAAAAACCCCACCATTTTCCTATTAGTACAATCAGTTTCCATTTTAAATCATACCAATCACAATGAATCTCCTTGGTATAAATTAGAGCACCATGGAGACTTCCACAGGAATGGCAGTGTTCCTCAGCTGTAATTAATGTATCATTCAATGCGCTATTGAGTTTATCCTGTATCAGCTGTCAAAATATGAATTTCTTAATGCCTGTGGATGAACCATCCAGGCATGATAAATGCATCAAAAAGAAAAAAAAAACAAACCAAAAAAACCACAAAAAAAACCCAAAACAAAACAAAAAAACAAAACAAAACAAAAAAAAAACCACCACAAAAAAATCCCACTAGGAGCTGGTCCCCCCACCTGCTGAGAAATGCCATGGCCAGAAATGTCCAGTTCTGAGAATCAGCCACCTTATACCAGAACTGAAAGCTCCTCCTGCATGGGTCTCACCTTGTTCTTGGCAAGAACGTTGGCTCCTGCTTTAACAAGCACTTTGGCAGACTGACTGAATCCATGCCAACAAGCTTCGTGAAGAGCAGTGTTCCCATCCTGATGAGCACACACACAAGAGGAGAAGGTTATGTGCTGCATAACCTGCTCTCTTAAAAAATATTTTCCTTTCCTTCTAGCTTATTTTTTGTTTTATTTTTAGAAGAGGGCCAAGATAGTGTTATTTCTTTTGTCTGGAACTTGAAATTAGTTATATTTGTTCCCAAACTAAACTTTAAAGCTTGGAATTCTTAAAGCCTGGGATTCTCAAGTTGCTGAGATAATCATGGTAAAATTCAGTGTTTTGAGTAGGGCCTAGTATGGTTGTACATTAATTTAATTCTTCCCTTAATGAGCTGAGAACAGACTCTTAAACCAAAAACTATCAACCCAATATAAAAGCATAACTAAATCAGCAACTTATATTAAAGAAATGGTACAGGGTTTTTTTTTTTCAATGTAACTGTTGCAATTACTGTCGAAGCATCAGATATTTACTCAGGAGTATAAACTATAACTTTCTCTCTGAGACCTTAATATTACTGGCTGGCAAGGCTGCCATCCCACAGGGCTTTGCTTTTGCCTGTTACCTTGTCTTGCCTGTCCAAAGCACACCCCTCCTGAATCAGAGTTGCTATGATATCGGTGTTCCCTACCACAGCAGCTCGGTGCAATGCCGTCTGATCACCCTGCAAAAAGAAGCAAATTTGTAATTGGTACCATTCCCACCTCATTTTGACTCACTACAAATGCAGGCAACACACACAGGGGCTGCATCTTCAGCGCACATACTGTTTAAATCCAAGCTGCCTTTGAAAACAGTCCCTGTAAACAACTACCATTAAAGTTCACAAGATCAGTGAAGCAATTGAAAGTATCAAACCAACTGTTCACAGAATTTTGCAAGTCATCACAACCCCATACACAGCGCTGAAGCATTCTAAAACTGGTGGTACTAGAAGGCAGTGAATCAAACATGTTTGGCACGACGCGTCTAATAATCAACAGTATCTGCAGCGAACTGAAGGGAACTACAGGCTGTCGCAATTCATCATAATGATCCTCCTGTACTTACACTAACTGGATGAGGCTCTCCTGTTTTGACTCTGATTGCTCCATCAGCCCTGCTTAGGATAAGGAGCACAAGATGAGAATCAGCACCTCTGATGAATCTACCAATTAGTGCTAAGAGTGGAGGCAACTTTATGATGAGGACCACAACTGCAAGACTCAATTCACTCAAGGAGTTGAGCAATCCTGAGGCCCAAACAACTTTCATTTCTCACTGACCTGCCACATAGCAGCAATAAGCAAGTTTCTTACAACAGTTTATTTCCTTTATGGCCAAGTTTCCGTAAGAAATTATGCCGATGTGGTCATCTTGTCTGACTGCCCATCTATCTCTCCTCCAGCAACTGCTGAACTCATTTGCTGACCTAGAGAGCCCAAGATTAATTTTCTACAAGCCTTCCAGAAATTGAAGACCAGGGAGACGCAAACCACTGGCCCTGCCCAGTGGGGGCTTTCTATATATTTTTATGTGCATGTTGGTGAGACCCTGATAAACGAGGGGAAAGAGAAGGATTTATGCAGCAGCATGTAGGGATGTAAGACATCGATTGATGGGAAAACGAGTTGCAGTAGCTCCACTGCTGCCACAACAACTGGTCTTGGCTTTTCTTTGAAATCACTTTGAACCTACAATGCTGAAGCACAGCCTGAGTCCACGAGCAAAGACAGGCTTCAAAGCTACACACAGCCTCTTTTGGGATGAATAAACAGAGTGGGAATCCAATCCACTTCTACCTATCCAGATAATGGTCACCACAAACACACGCAAGGCAGAGATATGCCATCTATCCTGGGGAAAAAAGGCTCGCAGGAAGCTAGTCCTAAATAGAACAAAATTTCCCTGCTACAAATCTTTATCAGATAATGGCATATTATATTAAATACTAAAACTAGAGGAATTTCTGTGTTTTCTGTTCTACAGTCTACAACTCTTCAGAAAACTGGCTAATTTGAATAATTTGTTCTCAAGGTAATTAGCAGCTGACTTTAAAATTGCTCTTCATGGGGTTCTTTTGTGCTGACACCAAACTAGTCATTAATCTATATAGAAAAAAATAAGCATTGCCAACTACAACCTTTCAATAATTCCTAAATCATTAAATTGGCTTATAGTCATGAAGTTGATTTTAAAAAATTGTGTTGAAGGTCCTTTTTTAAAAAATTACTATCTACGGTTTTTCTCTAGAGGCTTTTTGTTCTTGTGACTGGTAATGTATTTTAAGATATTTTGAACAAAGACAGTAACGGTTCCAAGAAGTGGGACTTTCAGAAAAGCCCAAAGTGTTGGAAAACTGACAGCACTGCAAGTGCTCTGAACTTTTGTATTTTTTTCCAAATTCAAAGACAATCAAAATGTTATGGAAAACATCTGAATTATACCATCTCACAAGTGCAAGTGTCAAATAGTTACCAGTAACTTCGACTAAGTGGAAATTTGCTCACCAAGATAAGGAAGAACTTAATACCCTTTTTAAAAATGCATGGCACTGATGACTGGCCAGTAGCTGCTGCTACTGCAGCAATGGGTAATGTGGACAGTGCAAAAGTCATTTTATCTGACTGTCACAAAGTGGAAAGTAATCCACCAACACATCCCTGCCAACTGGTATTGCTGCACCAGCGAAACTACAGAAGATACTATAAAACAGACTAAAACAAGATGGCAAATGCCACTGCAGTGAATGGAGTTTGAACAATGAATGGTTGGTTGCTACTTCTTCACAGTCTAGGAAATTACTGTGGAGAAGACTAAATTGGGGGCAGGCATGGATTTAACTGGATTTAGTTTGTAATTAAGGATCTTCTCACTGGGTCAGTTTAAAACAAGGCTGTTCCTGTCATTAGCCCAATCCCATCACAGCAATTGCAGTGAGGTCAAAGCCATTCAGCTTTTTAGAGTGTGTTGATATTACAGCTACTTTTAATGCCATCTCATTTAATTTCAAAACAAAGATATTTGTTTATTTGGAAAGCGGGAAGCACACCTCACTGCTGCAAGAGCAGGTCTCCCTTGGGGAGCCCAGTCCATGTGCTGGAGCAGGACTGAGATAGCTTCAGCCATGCCCAAGCTTTGTCCCATATTCAATTCTGGTCCCTGAAGTGGAAGCCCCAGTAGGTGAAAGGATACAACTCCCACAAATGGCAGACTCAGGTCCCTCCTGTCCAAGGTGTGGGCTTTGGTGCCAACATCTTCCCTACACAGCATGGGAACAGTCAAGTGTCTAAGAGTAAGGTCCAACCCACACCCTGACTGGGCAAAATAAACACCTCATCCCTGTAACAGGGACTGTCAAAGGATATCACCGACGGAGGCACCTCCCAGTGAAGAGATGGCACATATCAGTGTCCTGGTGTAGGTCCATCCATACCATCCCCTGGCCACTCAGCCAGCGGGACAGAGCAGGACCCGGTCAACTGTTCCCTCGGACCTCAGCACAGACATTAACCTTAAACTGCTTAAGGTGCTGTGAAAGCTGAATCACCAGATTGCAATGCCCTCTGTGTGAGAGTCACTGAGTGCCCCAGCCACGGATGGCATAGCTCACCTATAAATAACACTGCCTGTACTGCTGCACTCTAACCTGTCGTGCCTTCCCATCAGCAGCAGAGCAAATCCCTACCTTGCCTTTTATGGAGTCAGAGAAAACAGATACATTTTTTTTCACAGCATGAATTTTCAGACAGTGTAATCACTGACTTGTGTATCTTTTATTAATTGCTAAAATAACTGTCTCTGAAAGCACTCATCGGATTTCTGCTTTTAGCAAGGCATTACGGGGCTCTTCCAGAGGCTCAGAGAGCAATTACAGCGGTAAATGTGTATTAACTGTCCAGACTATTATGCTGGGCACAATTTATGATCCTATTTGCAAGAGATTTATGCCTTAGGAACAGACTGCAGATCAGCAGCAATGAAGAGGGATAACTCCAGTGCTGTGTCACACAAACATGACCTTGACAGAAAACAGTCTGCCTAAATGCAGATGTGGGCCCAAAGCCAAAAAGGCTTAAGTGAGGCTTGATAGAAGTAAGGCACTAAGATCTACACTGGTGAATCTTAAACCCCCTTACTCTGCCTAGCCCTAAAGGCAACTCAAACTCATTCCACTCCAATGCCCTGGACATCTCAGTGTGCAACACTGCCACAGGGCACTGCAGTCACGGTGGCACCACAGCCCCTAATGCAGCCCCTAATCTCTCCTCTCTCTCACTCTACAAGTGCTCTCCTCACGTGCTTGCTGGAAGAAGCTCCATGCATGTTGCAGGTATGCCCACCACCCTTCGAAATGAGGCCAGCGAAGAAAGCTACCACTGGCTCTTCTGCAGCAGCCCAGAGGTCACTTGCGCAGTTTGTCTTGCCCTGACAGCACTGCAGTGTTGAAAGTGCTCCACTTTTAAGAAAAATCTTGATATTCACTGGGATAGAAAGAGGAAGATGCTGGGGGACTGGGATAGAAATCTGCATCCCCTGATGCAGAGGATGCAGGACTACACATCTGAGAGCTCTACCTGTAATGGGGCTGTTACACAGCAGCAGGTAAATTTCCAAAGGATGAAACCATGTTCTTTATAGAGAGCTGAAACACCTGCTGTCAGGAGAGGGTTACAGGCTGGGAGTTCTGAAGAAAGGCAGATACTTAAAGCTTGACCTCTCCATGGACTTCAGCATTACCCTTCCTTTAGCACTTGTGTGTTGGCTAGGCTGGTGGCATTTGCTCAGTGTCCTGGTGTTTGGAAACTACCTCCTTGACTGACTTAAAACAGTGAATGCAACCACTGGGACCAGGCACTTGGAAACTGGACAGGCATCTATTTTACATGTGCAGTTCACCCCAAGGGAAATGAAACAATACAAGCGACTTACAAAACAGTTTCAGGTAGACTTCTGAACAGCTCTTCTGTGTTACTGGAGTATCTATTATAGACTCTACTGCCCAAAACGAGTGAGATTTGGTTTATATTAGTTTGTAATACATGTTACTTCTTCCTTTCTCTGATTTAAAAAAACAACCTATAACCACCATAATTTGTTCTCCTGCACACTCCTATTTTCCAGAGCAGCCATCAGTTGTACAATTTCCCTTAAAGCCCTTCTCCAGTGCCCCACTGTACCTTCTTGCTGTCCTTCTATGTTTGCAGAAATCAACAGACTGCCTTCCTGCTGGAGATTTGCAGCAAAATCACACAATGGTTTGGATTGGAAGGGACCTTAAAGATCATCAACCCCTCCATCGTGGGCAGGGACACCTTCCACCACTAGACCAGGTTGCTCAAAGTCCCATCCAGGCTAGCTTGGAACACTCCAGGGATGGGGCATCCACAGCTCTGGCCAACCAAAAAATAAACAACCAAAATAACAACCAAAAACTCATGGCTTCAACTCCTGATACAAAGTGCTGGATGGCACTTGGAAAGTCATATGCTATAAAATCAGCCAGTAAATTCACTGTAGAAATATCAAAATATTTTAAAGTTAAAATATAACCAAGTGTTGAATACTTGCAGGATCATACAAGTATATGTGGATATCCCAAAGCAACCAACCCTACACAAGGGCAACTGAATATGCCCTCATGTTTCTCAGTGTGTCTGCGCTGTGTGTCAGCTGCTCCTTTGCTGAAGAGAGACAGTCGTCATGACACACAGGAAAAACAACTTCACTCTGAACAATAAATGATGATGCATGACCAGCAGAAGTGATCAAGGCACAAAAAATAATAATGAATGAAACAAATTAGTGTCTAAATGAAATGGAAGCACAGGAATAAGCCACTTTGCATATTTTCATTCAGCTAGAAACGATTATGAACCCTGGGCTATTGCTCCATTATTTGAAGCTAATTTTCTGCTTCTTAAACTGGAGCTTCCAGAAGGGAAGTTTTGGGGCCTCTGGCCTTTGTTTTAAATCACATTGTTTTCCCAGTTAGATTTTCAGAGAGTGCATACAGGGCAGGAAAGCTGATGCAGGGCCCCCATCCCCAAGCTGGCCATGCAGCCATGCAGCACCGCAGAGCTCGGCCGCGCCAGACCGCCCGGCCAGGTTTCGCAGCATGCACCGTGCGAGGTGTCAGGCTCAAGGCAGGGGGGATGCACAAGAGTTCTAACCTCCTTCTCTCTCTCTGATCTTCTAGGTTCCTTCCTAGCCTTTCTCTTCTGGTTTTTCTTATTTTTTTCATCTTTGATTTCCTTCACCGGAACAACTTTCTCCTTGACTATTTCTGAGGTGTGTGCTGTATGGATACTCATTGACCACTCAGAGATGGCATTGGGATCCCAGTAAGAGTTTTCAGTATTGGCAGGGAGAAGGAAGGAGTTAGCTCCCGGGGTGGCGTATTCTACAGAGCTGGACTCCACCGGCTGAAATTCGTAATAATCCCACTCCAGGCCACTGGAGGTCATTCTTCAACTAATTCTTACGGCTCTTAACCATGTTTAAAGAATGTATCTGTGGAACATGAAGGGAGCGTTTTAATCTCTCCACAACATTCAGCATTTTTAAGACTTTTAAGTTTCTGCTTATCAGGTGGCAAATTAAAAGTTGGTCTTCAATTTGTTCAAAACTCCAAAATAAAGTCTTTATGTTTCTTGTTATTTAGAAAAATAAAATGTAGATCGTCTCTTTGGATTTTTGTGTGTTGTCACAATGACATGGACCAAAATCAACAAAGTAATTTACTTTTCAAATAAATATTATACTCTCCACTCTCACAAGCATTTTCATATCCGAACCTAAATCTGTATTCCTGAAAAACAGCAGTGAAATGGACAGATGTTAATCAACACTTGAAACTAAGATGCCTTCACTGCCACATAAGCACACAGTAGGAGTGGCAGAAGGGATAATCAATAGATGGCAACTAAAAGAGACTATGAACATATTCTGTGGAGCATAAACTGTAAAAACAAATTACACAAGGAGAAACCATAAACAGAGAACTTTCTTTGAAGACCTATGTGAAAGGAAAGCAGAAATATTTTAGTTAATACCTATCACAAGCAAAAATCTTCATTTGAAGTTTTAGACTTCCTTCTCCTACAATACAAATCCAAACATATCCTCTGAGACTCAGCAAGTCCCGAGGCTCTCCTCAATCCCAACCAAATTACTAGTACTAAATACAAAGCTAAAAATCAAAATACGTCAAAAACAGAATCTATGAATCCAGCATGCATCTATTCTTTCATATTAATCACCACATTTAGAAGTAATATCCAATTGTAGTGAGCAAAGTCCCTGAGAAGTTTGCAAGACAAGTGAAATAGGTCTTCTACAAGCTGAATATTTCTACAGCTGCAAGACTCTTTACTGAACTGAAACAATGCTAAACATTGATTTACTGTTTTTCCATTTCAGCTATCAAGTTTACATATAAACAGCCTAGATTTTATTCCTAGAGGATTAAAAATAATAAACCAGACTTACTCAAAAAACAGTTTCCACAGAAACCCAATTCGACCAAATCAGTGGCAGCTCTTGCTTTCTTAAAGCAGCAACTTGCTTTTCTCAGGAAAACTGACTGTACTTGTAAAGTACCTGCAATTTTGTCTTAAATACCTGATGAATCATTTTTGCTGGGAGACGTCAAAAAACATATCCAAGATACATCTGAATAAACTGATACTTCTACTGCACTTGCAAATATGTTCCATTTCACAGATGGGCACAGTGAAAGAATAAAGAGTGCAGGAAGCAAATGTTCCTCCTAGAAAAACAAGTTTCCCTGTGAAAGGCTGGCCACATCAGTACCACAGTCTTAAGCTCGTCAGACAAGCTGCTCATGTGTCACAGGGAATCAGCTACTCATGCAGAGGAAGAAACCAGCTTTCTAATTTCTACAGATATTTAACTCTCTAGATGCAAACAAATGCCTATGGGGATTTTCAAAAGGCACCTAGAAATTTCCAGTGTCCTTCTAATAGTCATACAGATGCCTCTACTCACCACCTTTGGACCTTTAGGTGCTTTGAGGACTCTCCACCTTTACAGGGGGGAAAAAAGCAACCCTAAACTCAAAGTTGCTCTAGCATGCCATCAGAAGTTAGTAATTATTTTGTAGAAATCATGGTTATTTGACTGCTATTTCACAGTTCAGTCTATACCATTTTTCATCAGAGTGAGGTAACTAAATCCATGTCACCACGCACTCCAATGTGCCTCAAAGCCCGTTCCAAGATTAGAACTAATCTTACAGAAACCTGAGAAATTTCAGTAACTTAAATGTTTTACCAAATGAAAACAAATTTGCTGAAAGCTGGTTTCACTGTGCTGGTGCTTCACCACACAACAGTTTCACAGATGCAACCACCCCCACATCATGTGTGGCTGCCAACAGGATGCTCTCCCTGCGGCGCTGCACAGTGCTCTGGGCAGCTGCTCAATACCTTAAATGCTGAGGGATGTGCCTACACAAAAAGCATCTCCACTTCAGGCCAACATCACAACTGATTGTGGTCCTTACCTGACTTGCTTCAGTGGTTTCCCACAGAGCACAATGAGCTCCTACTGCATTTCTACAAAAAGCAGCAGATGATGACTCTCACTGCTACTCACACCCACCTGGCACAACCAGAGCTCTTATAAAGCTCTGCAGCCTGAGCAAGAGGACCAAACTATTCACTGAAAACCACCACATTTTACATTGTCTCCCATGCAGTTTTGCATCTGCAAATTGGAGGTTGCATCTCTGAATTAGAAAAGAGAGAGACAGATTTTGCTTTCGTTTAATCCCACTTCAAAGAAGCAAAGGTCCACTGTTACTTGCAAATCACCTCTTCCCCTCCACTGCAAGCAAGGAAGTTTTATCTACTTACATCATCCTGAATATCCAGGTCACAACCTGCCTTCAACAAAATCTGGACAACGTGGAGATGACCCTTGTGGGCAGCAAGATGCAGGGGGGTCCGGCCATGCTATGAATGAGAAGAAAATAATAATACCTCAGGGTGAATTTTTATACATGGCAGTTAAATATAATTTTATCTGCTTTTCATCATTCTTCTGTTTGTACCTCACCCTCTGAAACCTGCAACAGCAGCAACTGACATACATTAGTGTATCAAAGGCTTTACTTTAGTTTTGTGTATGCTGAAAATTCTCCCCCCCCTTCTGTAACATTTCAGTTTATCCCAATGACACTCTACAAAAGGGATATCACATTCATGTAAGGGTACTTCCTTAGAAACTCAAATCCAGCTCTGTGCCTGTGCCTAAGCAGAATTCATGACCCTTTTCTTTCTATCCCTCTGGAGCACAAAACTGTCAACCACTTTCAACTTCCCTCTGTACAGCAAAGTTGCCACAGCAGGTTAATTCATATGTTGTAGTGGGCACCTTCTCATCCACTCTGACACATGGGCTTCTCAAAAGCCCAAACGCTGTCTCCTGTTAGTAGCAGCAGTTCATTCCCGTGTGGGAAACTTCCATTCCTTTTTTGCTGGAGGTGTGGGAAGAGCTCACTTTCAGCTGTCACCACTGCCCCTGGGCACCATCCACCCTGCTGCCTGGGTGCCTCTTGCTTGATCTGGTCACAGGTCCCTAAATGCCTGGCCCTACGTGGAAAGGCGTTGAGCTGCACCAACCACGTTTCCATCAGCTTGGAGGAGAGCCAGGGCTATGTCACTGTTCCAGGTAACTCAATAGCAGAAGGCATAAAAGTTCCCAGGCAACACGGGGGAGAAAAAAAAAAGAAAGAAAACAAAATGAAGCCAAATTGACAACCAATTCCCGTCTATGAACAATATGTTTGGATTATGAATACGTGTGCCAGCACATTCAGATTTACAGGTTCTGACTTTTCTACATTACTTAATGCCAATACGTAAATCGCCTAATCCAGGCATCTATCTCACTTCCCAGCAGGTTATTAATGAATTATCATGAAAACAATTTATAGCAATCTCTGTATGGATCAGGAAAAATCCCAATCCAACCCAACTTGAAGCCAGCTCATGTACGTTAAAAGGAAAACAGTGTCAACAACATGAGTATATCCCAACAGGGAAACTTTTTGATAAGATAACCAGCTCTAGCCACTAAAAAAATGCTGACATGCAGCCAGAGATACCAAGTTAAAAGTAAACTATGAAAACAGAATAGGAGCTTATATAAATATCAGGGGCATGTTTTCCTCAACCATCACACCTTCCTAGGCAACTGTGAGACATACTGTGCCTGCTAGCAGGGCACAAGCGCAGGAAACGGCTGCAAAACCACAAAAGATCCAGATCACATACCCTTCACCTGCCCATTCAGTGCCTTAAGTCACATTAAAATAAAGCTGCCCCTGAGAATGGACTTATCCGGAGGAGGCTGCCCTCACCCCAGGGAGCATTGTTGTCCTGTCCCTGGAACCTACACGACAGGATATGGGTGCTGGAGGAGGAGAGGGCACTTGCTGGAAGAGGCCACTGCAGAGCCAGGGAGAGCTGCAAGAAAGGGTTGCGTGGATGTTCCTGTCACTCAGTGAATAGAGGTTCATGCTAACTGTGCATTTCCCCTATCGTCATCCCCAAAGCATTCAAAAACATTATCCAGGTCCCTAAAACTCAGGTTTTGGGGTTTTTTTTTTAAATAAATTAAAAATTGGGTTGAAAGGCTAAAGAATCACTTTTATTCCAGAGGGTTTGTGTGTTTCAGATTCTCTATCCAGAAACATAGGTTCAGAGGCATCTCATCTACTGGAGACCCCTAGAGAGACCTTCAGTAACCAGAGCTTCTGCACAGCTGCAGTCCTTGAGTTCTTCCCACTTTAAAGGGACAGCTATAAACAAAAACTGTGACACTACCTAGGACAGGAGAGTGGGGAGGAGAATCAATTCCAGCACATTACAATAATTAGAGGCTCAGGCTTTTGGAAGAGCACCGATCATCTCAAGATTAATCATAACCCTGCAAAAACTGGCAATGCCAGATTTTCTTTCTCTTCCCAGTAACATTCAAAATGAGAGCAGAGATGGGTGGTTACAGATGATACAGTGTTCCAGTGTGGGCAACACAAACATTGGAAAAACATTCCCACCCATTTCCCCACACAAACATACACATAGGTAGGTATGTACATATGCATGCCCACACTAATCCAGAACAAACCATGAGGAAGGGACAAGGAGTTTGGGTACCCCTCATGCTGTGATGACAAACTTGGAGCACAGCAAGCTTTGGAAAGAAACACTGAACGAGTCCTTGCCACAGCAGCAACAGTCAGGGCTGCTCTTGCCTTCATGTCTATAAAGTCAAACCGACAGCCCACAAAGTTTTTCTCTCACAGCAATGCACCCTACCCAAAATATATAGGTGGAAGAGAGATGAAGGCAGACTGACAAATCTCCCTCTGTGTATCTCCTCCATAAAGACATTTTGCAGTCAACACTGCAGCACCAAAGAGGGGGTGTATTGGGTCTGGGTGAGCTGGAGTTCAGTTGCCCACAGTAGCCCTCACAGTGCTGTGCATTGGTAGTTAGAAGGGTGTTGATAACACACCGGTGTTTTGGCCACTGCTGAGCACAGCACCAGCACTGTAACATTCCTTCCTCAACTGAGGGCAAGATCCTGGGATCTGCCTTATCCCAACCTATGAGCTGTTTTCTCTACCTTATGCTCTCCCCTGTCCAGCTGGGAAGGAGAGTGATAGAGCAGCTGGGTGGGCACCTGGCATCCAGCCAAGGTCAACCCACCACAGGGGATTTATCTGAATACACATGAGGGTCTAAGGGGGAAAGGAAATATGTACAAAGACGAGTGTCTCCTGGATGCTCATTGCAAGGAGACAACGCTAAACCCAGAGACTGCTCAAAATGAAGACTACTGACTTAAAAGCTTGTGAGCATTGCCAAATATGAACTGTAATGATTTGGGGGTTATTAGAAATATAAATGAGGGACTGCTACAACTTGGGATTAATGAACCAATAAAGCAGTCATTCATATAGTAAAAAAAAAAAGCAATTTGGACTTCTATTCAAATGTAAACAATTGCTTCATCAGGCAACAAATCATACAAATGGTCCCGCGTCACGGACTTATTGACAAAATAAATGGGACCTATTTGACTAAGGCTGCAACTTCCAACCACCATGACACGCTGCTATAGCTGTGGGGCGTATCAGGCTGCAGCCAAGCACTGTAAACAGCCACATGAATTTCAGCAGTAAAATGCAAGGGTAGGATTTTGTTTGTATTTAATCTGTATTCCAACTTTCAGACATTGTCAGGTACCTGTCAATACATACCATTTAAAAGCAGAACTTTCAGAAGAGTATGTATGCCAATGAATGCCCTCCACAACCAAACCATACAGGGGTGCCTTAGCACCCCAAGCTGCATGATCTTTCCCTGTGTTTATGTATGTGTATGTGTAGATACTTTATAAAAGTACCTTCAGTTCTCCATTTCACCCTGCACTTGTAATGCACAAGGACTGTTATTTATTCATCCATTCTGCACTCATACAAAAAACGCCTATCCACATTTTATTGGAAAGCTTGAAAGCAAAATCCAAGTCTTGTCACATTGTTCACACTGCTGATTTGTTAGACTGTTCTCCATGAATAACCTGCTTGCTCAAGTCAGCAGAAAGTTTCCCATTGACCTCAACAGGCATTCAGCAAGTCGCTAAATGTTTGCTAGTCCCTTTTCATTTATCTTTATTTATTGTTTAAAACAGACACAAATAGCTCTTCAAACTGAAGGAGCGCAAAAATGTGAAAGCACCAAAATACTTTTTTTGTTGTTTGTCTTAACTTAGAAGAAAAAAAAGAGATTGCTTTAAAGAACTTGACATGCTCTGAAGTTGAGACTTAAAGTACCCCAGTATGACTAAAGTGTTGCCATATGGCATGTTCGTAACATGACTAATTCAAAAGTTAAATCAAACACACAGAATCACTGAATCAAAACAGAAGCACTACTTCTTGCATTTCCTTGGGCCTTTTTTTCCAAGTTATCATCCCTTCTCTGCAGAATTCAATTTTATAGCTATAATCTTAATGCCATGTTCTGCAGAAAAGCTATATTCTGCTTCTCTTTGAAAATACTCATAAAACCCATGGCGCTACACAAATTACACTAAAAGCGCCTGTGCTACCTTTATGATTTCTTCTGTCAATCTTTTCTGTGTTTACCAGAGAAACAGTGCACTCCTCTGTGTGTGCTTGCTAATACACAGCTTTTTCAGGCCCTATTAACCCTTGCTATTGAATGCTACACCCTGTGCTGCAACACCCCGGTGAACCCCAACACCCAGTAACACTTTGTTTTGGTGAGCTGGAGCACAGAGGTTCATACCTGGACATTTCAGCTCCAGAAGTGCCTTGTTTCAGCCAGGCATCCTTGGGATGCACCAGAAGTAGATGCCTGAGGTGACATGCCACTGCTTTCCATCCTCCAGGCAGCATTCTGGAAACAAGCTTGAGAGAAGACCTGACCTGATTTGAGATGTCACTACCATGGCTCCTCCTGTGCCATTTCTAGTGGCCACAGCCCTCTTCCTAATCTACCTCCACTCACAAAATTAAAAGAAAAATAACCCAGGAAAAGGATAGCAACATCCTGGGAGGACAGCAAGACAGATCAGCTCAGCAGAAGTCCCAGTGCTTTTGTGTCAAAGATGCAGCTGTCAGTAATGTCACTGAAAGAGAGCTCTACTACAAAAAGACTGAAAGAAGGGACCAGCTTTCTTGCTTGGAAGAAAAGACTTAATTATAGCAGGTGCAGTTCCTAGGTTTCCAGTTTTTGCAGCTTATTCACCAAAGTACTTGCTAAGGAAACCTGCTTGTTGGATTAGTCCAATATGTGTGATTGGTTGTTCAGGGGATTTTTTTTTCCCCTTTTCATAAAGAAAACAGCTACACATTTGAAGAACGTCAGACAAAAAGGCGTAAAAATGGAAATTATCTCTTTGTCATATTGGGCAGGGTGGCAACAGAGCACCCTGACTGAGCAGGTGTCCTTTGAGAAGAGCAGAGCCATGAAGCCTCTGCTGAGCACCACACACCTTCTCTTGACCAGTCCCACATGGCTGGTGGCAGAGGTCCCAGCACCAGGACAAGCACTCAGTGCATGTGCATTGCAGTGCCATCCACTGTGGTGAGGGTCAGCAGCAGCAGGGTGACCGAGTGGCCATCGGCTCTTCTTTACATATTTTAAAAGGCCCCAGATCTGGAACAAGCCCAAGTCTCCCTTGCTGGAGTCACAGGAGGTGCACATTTCCATACTGAACTTCACCTGCACAGATGCCTTGCTAGCAATGCTGGCAAAATGAAATAAGTGCATCCCCAAGGAAACACTAAAGTGAGCACCTGGACACACAGATTCTCCAGTGGTTTCTTTCATATTCTTCTTTGTCTGAAATCATCTACTTGGAGGTGACAAAAATGAAATACTATTTTACAGCTGAATTGTTGTTTACTGAAGCGACAATTAACGATATCATATGACCTTCCATATACAACAAAAACAGAACTGGACAAGCCAGCTATCTGGCATTCACTAGTACTTGACTTGTTACAGAAAATGCCCTTCGTTTTCCTTAAGCTATGCTCAATTAATCCAAAGAACTCTCTAGCATTTAGCTCAAGATCTTAGTCACTTCAAGCTGTGGCTCTCTACAGTGTTATTCACAAGAACTGGTCTGTGCTTACAGATGCATATCAAAAATACATTTAAAGCCTACAGTGATATGGGAACTTTTTCTCTCCCTCCAAAGAGCTTTGTCTTCTCCAATAAAACTCACAGAATCCAGCAGGAATTTTGGTTTTCAAGTACCAGATCCAGGGTTTTTTTAATGCAAATCTCTATAATTTAAAATTAATTTTACAGAACAAACTGAAAACTGAATAAAAGCAGAAGAAATACAGGTAAAAGAGAACTAAGGCATGCACATGAATAAATTTATTTCTATGCTCCATTGTGCAATGAGTTTTATCTTGGGGGAGGAGACAGCTCTAGATTTCAGTTCATCTGAAAGCTTGGTCTATAATAGGGTGCTACAATAAGCCCGCCATCTAATTTCCATTCTAAAATTAACAACCCCTATCCTGAAAGTAGTTCTTATTTTGCACTTGTTCTGCTTATTGAAAGACTGCACAAGAACCTGTTGCTGTGATGGCTAAAAAATCCCTTATAATTTCCAGTTTAAATAAACTTGAGGCTAATTTATACATCTCTTGCTCTTGCAACAACCTTGTCCTTAACTCTGCACATCTTTTTCTCCTTCCAGCCTTCGTGTGCCATCAGATTAGCAAGCTCTTCCCAGGGTATGTTTATACAGCCTTTCATAAGCAAATATGCACATGCTCTCTATACAGCTAGCTGGCTGGATGAGAGCCAGATGAAAACTGGACGCTGTGTAGACCTGTATAGGACACTACAGAGCCTGAACTTATGGGCTCTGATGAGGGCAGCAGCTTGGTCTCACTCTTCTTGGGTCACATTGCACTCACCTCTACCTGGCTCTCAGCATGGGAGGAATGAGTGTGTGTGCACCTCCAAAATACCCCTGCATGTAGCCTTGGCTGCTTCTCTGAGAGCATTTCCACTCCTGTGTCACTCCTCCACAGTCTTGCTGATCTGACTTCATCTCTTCTGAGCAGGGCTTGTCACCAGGCTACCCAAGTACCTCATCTGTACTGTCTGGCAGTGTGCTGGGATGCACCCAGAATGACAAGAGGGACAGTTTTTGTCATCTTCTCTCCCTGGACTCCATGGAGATAACCCACAACTTTTAGGAAAGAATAGCTACAATTCTGTAGTAGCAGGTCAGCTACAGGAATGGCCTCAGAGTTCACAGCTGTCCAACAGAAACACGAACTCTTTGCACCTGGGTGCAGTTCTGCTGCCAAATTAGCTTTGCTTTGATTTTCCATACAAGGGTTGAACAACAAAGCAAGCAAGCCACTCTATGTCATATAGGAAAGAAAAACTTGTCAATTCTAGCAAATCTGCACTATATCAAATTAAGCTGATTTTGTGTTTCAAAGTCAGATCTACACAACTTGTTTATTACTGTAATTAACAGAAGGCATTGACAGTAGCACAATAGTCAACCTTAGAAATGAGAAAGTGTCAATTTTGCATTTGAATTGTGGATTAAGGCAACTAGTTCCATAAAGCACTTAAATCAGTGGCATAACTATTCTGGAAACCAAGGGATATCACATTTTATGTTCAACCAGTGTGGAAGCTAAATTTGAAATTACATTAATGCACAAATTTTTACAAAGTATAGCATCCTTTCTAACATTTGTGTATTTTCAGGTAGGTCCCTCAGTAGTCTTCAAAGCTCATGATCTTAAAAAAATCAAACAAAAGAAAACATGGAACCACAAAACCCTGAGCTACAAGTCAGGCATCTGTAAGTCAGTATTTCCTGGTCTATTACTGACTACCATTAATAGCTGTATATCAGCTACAGAGCTGCTTGGACTACAGAGCCAAACAGGCATCTTTATGGGACTATTCATGTTTATTACATCTGTGCTTTGTATCTAGCTTTGTATCTTTGCCACTTATTTTGGCAAACAAAACTCACAAACACAGGTTGTCCTTGGATCACTCCAGCTTTCAAAATAAATATTATCTATAACTTAAACACTGCAAAGGGACTGAAAACAACTGTCACTGACAGATAAGTAATCTGTCTTTTCCTCTTTTTATCAAGTGTACTCACATTTGCTTTCTATCTGTAAATATTAGCTCCCATACATATATAATGTTCAAAACCAATATGGAAAGGCAAATAAAAATAAACACAATGGAGAACAACAGTTCGTCAAAACAGCACACCCCAAATCCTACATTACAGCTCTAAAGATTTAACTTACCTAATTCTAAGGATTTTTGCTGATCAAGCCTTCTCTGCAACAGCCAGATCTACCTCATTTTTTATACGCTAGTATTATTTACAACATGTTTAGAGTTAGGAATAGGTGAATATTATTTTGAACTCTCTTAATACCTAAGCAGAAATCCTTTGATGCTGGCCTTGCCTCGAAGGTATGGGGAACACACTTTGCAACCCCCAAGTTCGGAACTAAGGGGGTTCTAACACAGAACGAATCAATGAGGATGTTGGGTATAAGCGAGGCTGCTGTACCAAGAGACTTCAGCGACAAGAAACGCTTTCTGTGTACCTTTACCCTATCACAGAGGTGGCTTTTCCCCATCCTCTCACCCAGAGAGTTGGGTGCTCTGAACCGCCTCCCCTTGACAGTGATGAATCGCTCCATTCATCGGGTCACACAGTGTTCAAAAGTCAATGCATGCTTTGAAAAATGTTGCTGCCCGTCCATCAACACACCGTGTTTCTGGGGACTCAGCGTTCATCACAGCTGCGTCTGCTGGGAAGTGTATAAAGACGAGACATGCACTATATTGCAAATTTACCTGAGCTATTAAGTATAAACTTTAAGGAAATCTGAACACTAACCTCAGTCACATTCAGACTGTTAAAGCTACAAAGGCATTTTCACAGACAATGGTCTAGGAGTTACATTAGTTCCCAGGGCTTTCGCAAAGCGTTTTTCTCTCGTTACCTTGGTAACCGCTACCTTGGCACCCCTGTTGATAAGCTGCACCACATTCTCCACTTGGCCTTTGTAGGCGGCTACAAGCAGGCGTTCTGAAAGCACGGCGACCACATCCTGCTGGCTCATGAATTAGGAGAGAAAGGTTTTCAGGTTTCTTCAGTCCAAAAACAAAGGCTTGGGATCAGTTCAAGCAGCAGGCAAACAGGCGAGGAAGGACTCCAGCTCCCTGGGCAGTGACGTTATTGCTATGCCATCCTCTGGACCTATGGATCAGAAAACAACACTGCAGTCAGCAAGCTTTCAGAAACAGAAGTGCTGCAGCAACTCCTCCCTGAGTGTTTGTCTTTGCACTGGTTTGGGCAGGGGTCACAAAAACGCCTTGGAACCTCAAGAAGACATTGCACTTCTGTTACAGTGCAGAGGGGTGTAGACAATAGCACATTTTGAATGTGCCCTCATTTCCCTTGGTTGGGACAGAAATTCTTAAACTTTCTGAGAGCTTAACTCTCTTTAGGCCTAAACTGCATTTGTGTGGCCCCCTTTCATCCTCTCCTTCCCTCCAAGGTTTCCCAGACTTTAATTAGCCAAGGATGGGTTAACTACTGTTGGCCAAGGGAACAAAACAGGTTATAGATACTGGTTGCTGATACAAATATACAAACCTCTGCCCTGGAAGGATAGAGTGCAGTCAGCAATTAAAGGCAGCTGACTGTTCCCTCACAAGTTTAAAATGCTTCATAGCCTCCTCTGAACCATCCCAAGGACACCTTAGGGAGGGATTACAACCTGCAACTGGGAAACAGCCATCTTTGCTGTCAGTGAGAAACTATGTTCCCCCCACAGTGTTGACATCATGCTCCACTGACCACAGAAACAATTCAGATTTAGAACTCATCATGCAAACAGTATGTTCATCTGCCTGGGCTCCACTGACCCGCCCAATGAGCCACCAGAGCTGAAAAGAGATTTCTGACACAATTCCCAGAAAATGGATCTACGGATCACTTTGACACACAGGATCCAGAGCCTGCCCATCTGGGGAAGATACCAGCTTTATTGTGCTTTTCCCACTTTGGTATTTAATTGTTTTGGCAGCCCCTGGTGGTCTAGTGGTAAAGGCGCCGCGCTATCACCGCGGAGACCCGGTTCGATTCCCGGTCAGGGCCACTCCCGGGCAGGTGGGGCTCGTCAGCCCTTAAAGGCAACCCACCTACGTCCTAAGGACCTCGCTGCCACTGTCCAAGCTCGCTTGGCCCCGGCAGATGAACCTTAGGATTAAAGGGTGGGCTCAGTTCCGCGCACACTGTGTCTCACCTAAAAAATCCAATGCGCAGGCTGGAAGGTGTAAAAACCTTCCCCGGATCTTCGCTCGCGAAGACTGGCCATTATTATTATTTAATTGTTTCAGTACAGGGAAAACACGCTATCCAGCATGTATACAGATGATTTGTCTTTGTCTCTCTCTTGAAATATCACTGCACTGCTCCTCAACAGCTACTAGTGCGATACACTCCGCATAGTCTAAGAGTAATAGGTACAGGACTAGATGATCTTAGAGACTGATAGTGGAATACAATGTCTTTCACCCTTATGTTACCCCTCTGAATCCATCCCAAAACAGCAATAACTAAAAGCTATTACTGCTTAATGGCTTTGCTCCCCCCTAAACTGATCTGTTTTTCTCAGTATAGCTGATAGTACAAAGCCCTTCCCACCATAATCCCACCCATCAGAGTACTGACATTTTTGCTAACAGCTTCAGCAGGGAGATCCTCACCAGAACAGCAGAAAGATTTTATTTCCACCCTCACACCATGAAGACACTCCCAGCAATAAGGGCAAAATGCATGGGTGGCTGTGGCACATGAACTCCCTGTCTCCTAAATACTGGAGACGAGACCCTTCAGTGAACATCACTCCAACGTTACAAGCTTGTATTCACCAGTACACCTCTGCAACAAGGAGATGCTGTAGCCCTGTTTAATTGATTGCTTAATAGCATATTGTGAAACTCTGTGTCACCAAAATGGTACCCAAAGTCCCTGGAACCTGATGGATCAGTGATCTACACTAAAAATTTTTGATCATAGAAATTAAACCCATATTGGTTCATTTGTAGTAGTAGATGATACTAGCAGAATTCAATTTTCATTCCTATGGTAATTTATATTAACAAATTTTAAAATGCTTTATGAGCTTTAATTCTTGTAACACTCTTTGAAGTGAATAATATGCTGAAGAATATCACATGCATTTAAGAAAAAGGCCCTTGAAAGCGCAGGACAGTTACTGGTTTCTCTGAGAACAGCAAGTTATGTAAAAGCCAGGAAATAACTCCAGATAAATGACTCTTGATTTCTAAGTATAAGCATTAGGCAATATTATTTCCAGATAGAAGAAGCAGGTTAGTTTTTCCTCACCTTTCTCTTGCTTTCTAACTGCAAATGTGTGTGGAGCAACACGGAAATAGCTACACATTTCTTCAGAGAAACCAGATAAAAACTTTCTGGGCCTCAAAGGCAGTGTAACATGGGACAACACAGGAATGGTGCTGTGCTGTGTCACTGGACTAGTCTTACCCACACCCTCAACAGACACCCTCAATGGACACAGTTTGGACGTCCTGGTAACATAGAAAGTATGAAAGACAGAGATGGAAAATCCCCTATGTGCTTCACTAGGACTGCTGATATCATTCTCTGCTCCTCTGGCACAGTGCTGTGCACTGTATAGTACAAATCATGTAAAAAAAGCCAAGAAATACAGATGGCCAACACTTAGTAATTTGATCTATGAAAAACAACACAAGTTTCAATCTCACCTCCTTAAGTACTTAATTTCCAGTGACTTATGCTACTGAAGCAAGATGAACACTCCCCCTTCCTCGATGTCCCTCACCACGTGATTCCGGCCCCCCTGCTCCCAACACGTCCCTGACCCTCCCATCACATCCAGAGTTGCACCTCCATAACCCAGGAGCACACCCTACTCCTTCCCTCCATGACTGGCACACAGTCCAGGGCACGCCTTCCAGCAACGATCTTTCTCCGTGAGTTTTTCAGGCAGTGAGATGGTGTGTTTCTGTGCCAGCCCCTGCCTGTGCAGTGGTGGTTTCCAAGTGAACTGTACCATCGATTGTTGGTCCCCAACCTTACCCATAAAGCTGTCTGCCTACACTTTGGATGGAGTCATGCACAGTACAGTTACGACTCTGTGAATCTTAAAACATTTGTGGTCAGATTCTGCTTGGTTTTCTTACCCTTTAAATTAAAAATAATAATAATAAAAAAGGGCAGTAACATCACTGTCACTGAGAGATTTCCATATTCACTGCAAAAATCTCAATGGAAACATTTTCCTGACACACTGACATTTCTGAGCAAATTTGCAGAAACTCTGTATGTTCACCACAACACACTAACACCTGAACTGACACACAACGCTGGACAGTTAGGGCTGCCAAGGAAAAGCCTGGATAACAGGTACATACCTGTGCAAGGTAAATGCTGGAAATTGTACTCCCTAGTTTGATTGTGCTCCTTTTCTCTCGCTGTCTTGCGATTACTGCAGCACATTCCCCCCTGGAGACCACGAGCCTCCTCAGCCTGCCATGCCCTGCCATGCTGGAGTGACGGACTGTGACAGCCTTGCTGTTATCACGTAGTTTATCTTCTTCCCTTCTCCACCACTTGCATCATACATAAAAGCAAAGCATGGTGTTGATTCAGGTATCAGTCTTTTACAGATATCTCCCACTTCATCCAAGTTTCCAGCAGTTGTCAGTTCCTGTTCCCAGAGGGCAGTCACTGCACAAGCCTGGCTCCTGCTCCCACAACAGGTCTCATTCCCTACGACATCTGCTTTACATCTCCTCCGCTGGGATTATTTGCAATTCATAAAAGTGCATCCGATTAGGGATAGGAAGCCCAGACAACTGAAAGACCAACTTTCCTTTTCTCCTGAGCTGGTAGAAAAAGATGGGTGACCAGGGTGAGCGGGAACAACCTTCTTATTCCTCTCCCAAGGGACCCTTCCCTGGCACAGTGGCTACACTGGCAGTGGCATTGCTCCCCACCAGCTTTAACCCTCTACATGCCTCAGACACACAGTGTCTTTCCTTGACAACGTCTGCAGCAGGAAGAAGGTACCAGATGCCCAAGGACCACAGTTAGAAGCCTGACTGCTCCTTTCACACCCAGATGGTGCAAAATTAACCCGACAACATGATTACAGGCACTGCATCACATCCCTGCTGCCAGCACCTGCTGCCCAGAACTAAATCCCTCATTATCACCCCCCAGATCCAGAAGCTCAGGGAAGACACAAAGCATGGGAATATTCAAACCTTCTGCCTTCAAAACAGTAACAAAAATTATTTTAAAAACATTTAATGCATTTTTAAATAAGAAACAGCCATCTCTGTGCTTCTTTGTTTAAGATCAAATTACTTACCTGGGGCAGGCTGGGAAAGCAATACCTACTTCCCCAAGCCTCTCCAGGGAAACTGGCCAGATGTGCTGCCCACAGGTTCAGTTGCTCCACTGCAGGGCAATCCCTTCCAAGGATAACCTGCTCACCCCTGAGGATAATGTGTTCACCCCATCAGTGGAGTGTGGAAAAGGACAGGTTGACTGTGGATTAGTATTCCCGATTGGCAGCAGCGAGGCACTGTCCCCCGGCGCTGAGGTCCAGCTGCATCCCCACAGATTATGCCCTTGGCTCAGTGAGTCACACTGCCCTACAGATGCTCTAGGAGATGTTTGTCTGGGATGGCACAGCACGGTGCGGGTGGGCAGCCGGCTGCTCGGTGGCAGGGCTTTAAAGCTCACAGTTCCGTCCTCTCTCCCGTGCAACTGGCAGAGAGGGCAAAAAATACTCTACGCACCTTCCCCCTCCCCAGCTCCCTCCCCTCCAAACTGCTGCCAGGCTGCTTCAGTGGCCGTATCACCTACACGTCAGTAACAAAAAAAACCACAGGAATAATGATTTTCAAAAGTCAAAGGACAGTCCAGGACACATCACACATCACAGGTACTGAAAGGCTAGGCAATACACTCTCCTAAATTCATGGAAATGGTTAAAAACACCAGCTTCCTCTCTGAGGGAAGAGAAAAAAAGCCAAAATTATGAAAGATTTAAGAGCTATGAGCTAATCAATTTTATGAAGTCCCCTGCGCTAAATGGAAAAGATGCAATGCCAGAGCACAGGTCACTCTCAGTACAATCACCAAGTTAAATTAGTACTGGAAAAAAAGAATGCTTA